CCAGTTCTCTTTGAAATAAAAAAGACATTAGAGGGGAATTCAAACACAACTGTAGAGGTGTTTTTAAAAGCCTATTTATCACAGATTATTCAGACAAAAGCTGAAGGTTATCACTATAGGCAATCTAGAGCCTCATGTCTGGAAGAGTTTTGCTTTTTTTTAAGTGGTAAAATCAAGAGGTTATGACAAAAGAGACAAATGTAATGTTCTGAGCTTTACATATGATGGGTTAATCCAAGGATATTAACAATGTATTTTCATTGGTTGTTAAGTGGTTGTTCTGTAATGGTCACACAGCGAATGAGCTCTGGAAACTACACTTCCTGTAGCTAACCTTTGTTCAACAGATTAACCTTACATATACATATACTCACAGAGGTTTTCTTTAAGCTTTCTCACAACCACAGGCCAAGGAGGTAGCGTTTCTCCAAATGTCTGCGGATAACATGTATAGAGAAGAGCCTGCCACCCAGCTGTTCAGTGAGAAAAATACAGACAGTGAGGTACTGGAACTTGTGGCAGATTCTGCACCTAGTGGTGTTTGTTAATGTCTGAGTGGAGTGTTAGACATCACGAGACGGTGAAAGAATTTACTGTGATCCTAAACTCGCACATGAAGACTGCACCCGAAGCAGCAAAAAACAAAGGCCTCAGAACCTGGGCCTCACGCATCGACATCACACATCCTCTGCAACCAGACAATGAAACAAAATTGTGGTGCGAAAGCAAGTCTGTTTGAGTGTTTTCATTCTGAACCGACGCCATCTCAGAGCAAAGATAACATACGACCAAGCGGGATTTTACATTTCCCTGTAACAAAAAAAAAAAAAAAAAAAAAAAAAGAAGCTGCCTTTGTTCGAATGAAGAACCTTATATCAAAAGCTCCTTTATGTTTGCACAAATAACTCAGCCACCTGTGGTTATTGTTTACAGAGGAAAGTCTTCCCCTAACGGTAAAATAATCCTAATGCGGCAGCTGTAACAGAGAGAACTCCCTGGAATCTCTGCAATGCCAGCTGTTCTTCTAACACTGTACCTCAACAGAGAGGTGATACACGAGTATGCAGAGCAGAAAATTCACAATAGATGTGAGATTTTACAACATAAACCAAAAAACTCTTCCCCTAAAGTATGATTCGCTTTTCTGGCGCCTGCCTTAAAAGATTTCATCTATTCCATCATCACAGCAGTATTTAAAAATCAGAAAGCCACCTAAACAAAAATCCTGCATTGTTAACCAATTTGCTGTTGTCTGACCTTTAGCAACAAATCACTGTTTTATGTCAAAACACCCAAGAAGCGCACAGAAAGTGCAGAGACAGCACGTACCATTCTCCGCCACAGCTGAGGCAACAAAGTTCTTAATGCCCTCTCTTTCTCTCTCTCAAACACACACACACACACACACACATAGAATGACCAGTACTTTGAACGCGGGTCTTTTACATCACTTAGATTCCATAAATTTTTCACTTAATCTTCCTGAAATTCAAAGAGGCTGCTCAGGCCGTGAATCGCTTTGAAATGGAATTAAAAGACTTAGAAAGTTTGCAAGTCACTGAACCGGTGACAAATTTGTGTTGTTGTGTAAAGCTGCTTATCGTCATGTGTTTGAAGAGCCAACACGTTCTATGCCGTATCAGACCTTGATGATAATAAAAGTAATGTGACCAAATATTCCCTTGAAATCCCTTGAAAAAAAGAACAAAGTTGTCACGTTTTATGGGGGCCGTAGTCATTTTCGTATATTGGTTTAACTGGAAAATATAATCACATCTGGGGTTTGCTTTTCCTTCACATTTCAATGATTAGACCCAAAATGCCTCCCAATGTTTGCAAACTAGGGCAAGTGGCTGGCCATTATCTGTGGGGACATAAAGCAGGGGTTGACCCCAGGTCTCAGGTCAGCAACAGAGTAGCTCCTCCCGGTCCAGCCAGGTGCATGTGTGGCTTCTGTCTCCATACTGACAAACAAAGGGAGAAAAGTCCTGGCAACTGCTGGTAACTGCGTATTCGTTGTGTGTACAAGGCTGGTGAATGTGTCGGGAGTCGGAGGAATAAACAGCTGAAACTGTTACCTCAAAGAGTAGACAGCTAGTGAGATTAACACTACATCACCCTCAACAGACAGACAACTGTGTGGCAGCTGCTTCAAGCAGCACATGGAGCTGTAAGCCTAAGTAAGTGGGCATTCATTCAGGTATTACGGTAACACACGGTCACACTCAGCAATTAAAGCAAAGCCAAAAATGCAATTTTCCTGGATATATCAGCACGAACTGATCTGAAGAAAGCAACTATTTACTCCTCTCAGTACAGTAAGACTTCAAAAGGAGAAAGCCACTGGGGCCTCTGTGAAGGGTAAAGAAATGGGCCACTAAGGCCAGTTTGCCAGAAAAAGCATTAAATCTTGGTGGAAAAATGTAGACTCACATGTCTTAACAAAGGTCCTTGGTATGATCTAAAAAACATGGTGACAAACTATGTACTTTACAGGCTGCTAAAGAAAACCAGCTGATTATTTACTTGACTGAACTCCAACTAAGACAAAAAGTTGTCTCCAAGGAACTCACCCAAAGGAAAGCCACCACCGTGCAACAGCATCTTGAGAACATAACTCTCCTTATTCATTTTTGTTAAGTCCGACTGCTGTTATATTAAAAATTAAAGAACAAAGCAGAGCAATTTCATATAAACTCGTGTCATGGCGAGACAGCATCATTATTTCTACCAACCTGATCTTTAAATAGAGGGATGCACCCTCCCAGCAAACACCAGCTACAACAACATTTTAATCATTATAATGCAATAATTTTCCCAGTGTCCCAAATATCAACTGTAGTGATTCCTATACACAGCATGTCCCTGCTACAATTACCCAGCTCTCAGAAAATGAGAACATCAAAAGGCAACTACCCACAGCAAACTAGTGCCCACTCATGGAATGGCAGACCATAAAAAAGTACTTAAAAGGGATTCACATGGTCAATTTCAAACAGATTCCTTGCAGATTGACTACAGGAGAGGCAAGTGGGAAGGAGGAGGAAACGAAGGAGGAAGGACCTAGGAGGAGCACAAGATGGAGAGACTAAATTAGCAAGCTGTGTGTTTTTGTGGTCTTGGCAATGGGGAGATCCCAAAGGAGAGCTAATGACTGTAGTGGTATCTGGCATGGGGGCCAAGTTTCCTTTACTGTTTTAAAGTCGCCTCCAGTCCATAGCCACCAAGTCATGACCAACATATGCTGAGCTCTCGTGCAATTATACGATTATCAAGGTCGTTCCTCCCACTTATTTCCATTATATGCTGCTGAGCAGATTTTACAGACATTTTGTCCTTCTGGATCTTCTGAAGAAAGGAAAGTCTGTAGAGTCCAGCCTCTAAGGACGCGCTTCGAGGGCCAGAAAAAAACCCCAGACTTATAAGACTAATAAATAATCATTTAAAAAAATGCATGTACATAATGCGTAGTGTATCCAATCATCAGGTTTTATGTATTCCCAGGAAGGACAAGATTATAAAAAGATGATCTGACAGCAAATTTCTATGACATTTCCTACATTTCATTGAGGTCAAGTAACTAAATAAACTGTTAAAGCCCAGAAAATAAAGATATATAACAGATATACAGGCCCCATGCAGGCACAACAGTGGGGCAAAGGTAGCAGTTCTAGCTGACCTCTTAACCGTAAGAGCCCTAAACAACAGAAAGGAGTGGCAAGACTTTTATTGTCCCAGCATGAGAAAAGGAGGCAGAGCCACTTCAGCTTGATGGATGGGTTCCAACTGGGAAAGTGAGGCTGGGGATAAAGACTTCTATCCCGCCATAAAACTCTGCTGCTCTTGGTCTTCACACACCCAGTAACTTCTGTGTTTAAGTGTGGAAATAACAAGAAAACTACACTATCTGAGTGATTCATACAGGCTAGACAGGTTGCAACACCTTCATTAAGGAAAATGTATACAAGGCTGCAGTGCTCAGATCTCAATCCCTTAATGTACTGGAAAGCAGTCGAGGTGATGTGTGTGTGTCTGTGGAAAGAAAGTCACGGTTTCCCCTTTAATTTTACCACCGGCTGTTGAGTGAAACAATCACATCAGACAAAGGATGACAGAGCACGATAGATGGAGCTATGAGACATCTACCGTGCACACTGTAGACTGTTTGAACCAGACTTCTGAGGCAAGCCCTCAGGTGCTACAGCAGGTCTAGGCTGGTAGGTGCAGTATAAGCATAAATGGTCAACTTGCTATTTCAAGACACGTCTTCGGAGAAGGCCATTGCACGTACAAGTAAACAATGTATTGCTGAGACTGACTCATGATTAGTCATTTTGGAAAGGCCCGATGCAAGCTTCCAAAGTGAAACATCTGTTATGACACAACGGTCACATTGCATCTCCAGTCAAATCAAAGATAGAAAGAAAGAAGGTATCCTGCTCTGATCTCACAGTTATAGATGTAGCAATGGCTGCGTGATTTTCGTCTACGGCGCGCTGTGTCACCAGTGACCTACAGTGTGTGGGATCATATAGCTGTCATTTCTTCCCACACCATCTTTTACCAAAACTGGAAAACTCCCTGCATAGAGGACAAGTACAGGAAGAGCTTTAAAGTTCAAGTGCACATCTTTTTCCTCAAGTACCATTCTAGTTATGGCAACAGTGTTTATAGATATCTAGAAATGAAGCACTGGTTTGTTTTTTTTGTTTTTTTATAGGTCAAATGGAAAAAGTGATTTTTTCCCCTCCACCATCAGTTTTGTATATTTGCCAAGAGCACACTTCAGATTTAGCTTTCTCTTCTGTTCTCTTCAGCTCACTTAACTCACTTCGGTTATCACATTCTCAATCTTTAACTAGAAGGCCATCTGTGAAGGGTACTTCATAAAGTTTAGTCAGGAATGAATTTATAAACTCTGAATGTAGCTTTAGTGTCTTGGTGTTTGGGGTATCTGATTCCTGGATCCTAGCTGTTTTTCTTCCAGATTTTACACATACCTGAATCCTTCTTGCTCCCCTTGCCTCCATCTCTGTTCTTCTTCAGCACTGCCTTGAACATGGCAAGATTCCTGGAATCCTTTCTGCAGAGCCCCTGGGGTTAAAGCAAATAAAAACATTCATTAACCCACAGTCACAACAGGATAACTGAGATGCATCCATTGTCAGTCTAACAAAACAGAGGCCGTTTTCTGTACTCACGTGCAAATAAGAAAACAGATTAAACACAAGGCCTTTTTTGTTGTTTTTAATCAAGAATTAAGCAAAAAACAGGCCAAATGTGTCCTCAAGCTTGGAACACAGCAATGGCAAAACAGTGTACTGTATATCTGCATTTCTATCTGTTTAGCTGGCACTCGCCCGGGAGTGTTCCCACAGCACTCCCACTCCTGCAGGTCATCAGTGGAGGGGAGCATGGAAAGAATGCTCTAATATTTAAACAGAAAAGGACAAGTTCTGCTATCTTGTTATGCAGGAAAACAGTCCGCCGAATGCCCTGAATTCCACATGCAATCGACGCTACGGGGCTGCACTTGGGTGTTTACAACTGATATCCATGGTTCCTCCCAACCCTGTGTTCATTTTGAAACCTTAGAGTTAAACGGTATAACATGAACTCAAGGTCTGGCCTGGATGTTCTTGCTTACTTTGGGATTATTTATAGTCTTTACGTAGCTGGACAACAGTAAAAACATTCATAACACAGCGTTGCCTAGAACAGTTAATTGTGTGGGATTTTTGGTTACCATCCCTCTGAACACATTACAGGCTCCTACAGTACTGTATTAATAGCAGCAGAGCAATCTTTCCAATGAAGAGAAAAGAATGGTTTCAACCAAATAAGGATATGCCATGTGCAAACAAAACATAGTTCTTAACCTAGAGGCCAGGCTTCACAAATCTAGGTCCTCTTACTGCTTATTGAAAGAGGTTTCTGAATCACCCTTTTCCCCCTGTATACACCATTTTTTTATTTTGTTTTTTTTAATCCTTTACCTTTTTATACCCCAAACCAAACCTTAACAAGAAATGCACCTGATTTGTCGTAGTATAAGACATGTGCACACTGCTTTTATGTGTAGAGGCAGAGATATTGCAGTTCATGACATCACAGTGCAAAATTAGGAGGAGTTGGTAGTTTCTGTGTGGGAGCTCGCTGCTCATCGCCACAGTAACAATAAACATTACGCAGGTAATCCCAAAGGAAATGAGAAACGCCCTCTTAAAACTCTAAAAGCCAACATGACAAATTCCTTCCATCCCCCCCATCGCAGCCACTGGACACAAACACACACACAAAGTCAGCACCCAGTGAGAGAATGAGGTTCACCTCTTCAGGCATGCTATACAGTTAATCATTCCTAATTCTGAGCTATGCGTCTATCAGCTGTTTGCATTAGGTGTGGAGTTACAATGTACATATTACTTGAAAGAAAGCCAACCATGTGTCATCACTGTCGTAATGACAGCTTAAAAAAAAAGCACAATGATGACAGCATTATTAAAAGTCCATGAGCATTTTAGCTCCGGGAAGGGAAAACGTAGAAAGATTGCTGCATACAGTGTAATGGAGAGTGATTCGAGACACTGGCATAGATACAATCTAGCCAACCGAACACAACTATGACACAAGGTTGCAACAGCCACAGGTGGTCACGGAACAAGATCTGGTAAACTAAAGTACTATGTTACAAACACTGCTTTGTTTAAACTCCCCAAAGCATCAAAAATGAAAAACCTTATAATGATATTGGTGCCAATTAGATATACACTCACTGGCCAGTTCACATGTTCATTGATAAATGCGGGCAGGTAATCGTCCAATCATGAGGCAAGAACTCAATGAATTTGACTTGCTGCCATGAAACTGATACAAACTGTAAATACAGTCAAGATGACCATATTTACTGGGAAGTTCAAACTGAGCACCATTGGATGAAAGGTGATTTAAGTGACATGATATGAGTGCCAGATGGAGTGGAGTGAGTATTTCAGACACTGCTCATCTACTGGGATTTTTTCCACGAACACACTGAAAAACAAAGAAGCAGTTCTCTGGGAGAAAAATGCCTTACTGGTGTCAGAGGTTAAAGGAGAAAGGGTTCAAAACGCTTTGAGCTAATAGGAAGGCAACAGTAACTCAACTAACCAGTCTTTACAACTAAGCTATGCAGAAGAGCATAGCTCTGCACAACACTTCAAACCCTGAAGCAGCAGAAGTCCACATCTTAAAGCAAATGTTCAGCTAAGAACACTGAAACTGAGGCTACAATTCACACATATTCGCAAGAATTGAACAACATAAGATAGTGAAAGAATTTGGCAACAAGAAAGCACGGATCCATCCCGCCTTGTATCAGCAGCTCAGGCTGCTGCTGGTGTTGGTGTTGGCCCTGGTTAGGAGTAGGGGAGTAAATGAATATTGTTACTGACCATGCTCATCCCTTTAAGACCACAGTGTGCCCATGTTCTGAAGGCTGCTTCAAACAAGAAAGCACATCATGTCACAAAGCTCTAATTATCTTGAACATGACAATGAGTTCACTGGACTCAAATAGCCTCCACAGACAGCAGAGTTCAATCCAATAGAGCACCTTTAGGATGCGGTGGAACAGGAGATTCTCATCATAGATGTCCAGCAACTATGCTCTGCCATGAAAGCCTAAGGCTACTCTGAAGGCCCAACCTAGTACTTACGGGGTGTACCCACTAAGGTGACCGATGAATACACTGTTATAGTATAAAAAACAGACAAAGTAGGATGATTTTCATGACAAACTAAGTTTCTTCATTAAGTCTTCTGGATAATCACAAACAACATTGTGTTAATGCCACCTAAGCCTTGCATTGTTTTTATTGGCACTGGTTGTGGGGAATCCTGAAAAAGGTTAATGAAATCAAAGCCTAATCCCCACGACAGCAGAAGTATTTCGATCAGCATAGCGGGGCTATAAATTTGACATTTGTAAGACAGTCCCCTCAGAGAAGAAGCACGAACCGCATGCTACGCAGAGCGATGGGAATCAATATTCTTTAAGCCTTCAAGGTCTGGTCCATCCCAGTGCACAAAGCTGTGTTTGTATATTAGCATGGCCCCTTACTAGGGGCCTCTCAAAATTAAAACAGAGCAGTGCAAGTCCCATCAAGGCTCAAGGGTCTGCAGAAACACACATTTACCCAGTGAAAAAGCAGTTAATTTGCTGCTGCTCTTGTTTATTTGAGGCAAATTGTCATAAAGTTCCAACAGACCATCTAAAGGGATACACACGAAAGACCGCATCATGATTTTCCCACTGCTAGCATTTTAACCAAACATACATGTCAGCACAAAGACCTTCACACGAGAGCTGTCTGTTACTCTGTAAAAGCTCAAGGCAAAAATAAAACTGACACCAATCTGCGGTATAATGTCAAGGCAGCTTCCCTTTTAGAAAAAAAAAGAAATTGGAGCCTGGGTGGGTTAAAAGGAGCCTCGGGTTATCCATATATTTGTTTTCCAGGTCATTCCCAATGTGACACAGTTCAAATCCAGACAGGTTACGAAACAGGAAAGATCCACACCTGCACAATGCCGACGTGACATGTGGTTAATGGGGCCAGCTCGCTATACCATAGTCATCTGAGAAGATGCCTATATAGAGAACAGAAAGGGGATTGTTTGTCCTGATTACATCTGGTGGGGAAGCATTTAACAAACACTGACGCTGGTGAGTTAGCCTGCTTTGCACTTTATTAAGTGGCAAACAATAGAGAGTGCACCCTCAAGCTCAGATGAGCTTCCAGCATTGGAGCAAACAGCCATTTTCCACCCCATGCGTTCATCTCTTTCCTGTTGATATGCCTTGCCAGCTCTCTTCATCAACTGATTCTACATGAGTGACTGCTCTCAGTTTTCCACCCTGTTGTCATAGCAACATGGAAATTCTCACTTTGGGCTGACCTTCAAGCTGGTTTATCAAACAAGCTAGCCTAGAAGCAAACTAGTGAGACTTCAAAATTCTCATGTGAAATCCATAATTATCTCTTTTATTTGCTGTCCATTCGCTGGGTGCAGGAAACAAGCAGAGCCTGGCCTGTGAGTTCAAGGGTCCATAAACAATGGGGCAAGTTAGCTAACAAACCTTTGAAAGAGGAAGTGCTGGAAGTAGGTAGAGAGGAAAGCGCAGTCTGAGTGTCAGCCATTGTAAACAAAAGGTTGTTATTCACACTAAAGCAACTGGAAGAGAAATAACAAAAGGACAGATATTTTTATGGCACTTCTCTACCGGTTTGACTCAAGTGTTTCCTGCTCAGCCTTTTCCCTGCACCAGCCTATAGGAAGCAGGCCTTCATCTTGTAATTAGGGGGAAATACCTTGAAATATTAATGGATGACTTAACCATTGTGATTAACCCACAAACAAATTACACAGGTGATCATATGGTCTGCTATAGGGCTGTCCGATATAATGATATATATCGGATGACGATATAAAAACGTCTATCGTTTCATTTTACCCTATCGTTTGTTTCGTGGTGTCGCAAAATAAACTGTTTACGGCAATATTTTTTCATTGTTTTGATGGTCACTGTAGTGGCTATATTAATTTCTTAAAGTTCTTTATTTCTCTTATATTTTATATAACCACACTACAGACGGACAAGCGCCTGTTTTTATGCACCACAACGGTAACACCAGCGCGTGTCCGCTTGTTTATGTTCCACATAAACCTTTCACAATAAAGCTCAAGATCCTGTTGAGACTTTTCAAAATAAACTGAATCACGTGAAAGAGCAGATTATTTACGGATGAGAAGTAAAAAAGAGCCGCCAGGTGCTAAAAAATAAACCTTAGACTCAAACGTTAGAACAGGCTTTTCCCCGCAGCACTCCGTGTAATAAATACTCACAAAGAAAACGGCGGCCGTTATAACTTATGTCTAAAAATGTATCGTTTCATGCATCGGTTAAAACACTCGACTCCAGCTACATGACACGCAGCTGGAAACACTTCCCGCAAGTCGAGCTGCCCGAGATTCACAGAATTTACAGAAAATGTTACATTTTTGTGATTTATATCGTTATCGGGACGATAGAATTCTTATATCGGGATATG